TGTACTATTTTCTACATAAATAATTTCTTTCAAAACATTCGGAACCGCTAAAATCTCACAAATTTACGTCATACCTAATTGCTAACAAACGGCATAGCACAACTATCTGTTTATCGACCGTGTTGTCATCGCCAAAGTCGCGGATTTTTGTCACGTGAAAATGGACCTTTATACTGTGTCTGAACAACGTTACGATAACGAGTCATCGTTTAATCGATTATCTGTCTGCATATGTATTTCTACGAATACGATTCCGTGTCAAGACTACGTGGCTCGTGACAACCACAGATGAGCAAACTTTCATTCGAATAACAGATAACGAGTAAAAAACAAACGCATATCAATTTCGTCATTCCGTTTATTCAAACAGAATTAAATTGGTATTTATGCGAAGAAGCGTTGTACTTCTTGATTCATTGTAGATAATAAAAATTAGTTATGGAAAAAAGTTGATGAAATAGTTTAATGCTACTACAAGGTTTTCCTTCCAATAACACTTCTGGTCTTTCATCGAAGCAATGCATCCGCAAAGTGCAACTGCACTTTCATATAAGAATTGAACTATTTATTTTTTGGCATAATAAAGATTACAAAAATACTCAACAAAAACTGACATCATAATTGTATATCTAATTTCTATCTAGTCTACTAGAAAACTATCGTTTATCGTAAAAGTCCTATAGCGTCCTATAGATTACAAATTCCTCCGCCCCTACTCCTTGTGATATAACAGAGATTATTCTCGTAAGCCTTACATTTTGCTGCATGACGTAAAACAGTGTTGTAATTATATAAAAGGCGATTGCTCGTATTGATAAATCCATGACGCAACAGTGCATAAATCCAACGCTAAACGCGTACCAGAAGATGATTGGAAGATGCGGATCGTACGTGAATTATATTTAGGGAAAGAGATAATAAATAGGGAATCTTGTATGGAAAGAAATAATAAGGCCGGTCATCGATAACAACATTACATCGATGTCGTTTTACCTGCTTCCTGTGACGAGTAATTTAATTAATTCTCACGACGTGACTCGTCGTGAAAATTGTCCTTCACATGCGCATCGTTTCCGTGACTAAAATATCCTATTGCCTTGACTTTGAACCACGTTAACGTTTGTAACAAAGATAACACTGCGAAAATTAGCAGACTTTCAGGAGATATTATCTCGCTACGAACGAAATAAAAAATTACAAAAATTGGAATCTTTAAACAGAAATCAATTTAATGCAAGTGTTCGGATCCTTTTCGCTACAAAAGAATTCAGTTAATCTATAGCTAGAGATCCCTACTTCACGTGTATCGAAATACCCGGGTACACGCGTAATTAATGGATCCGTGTTTTAATCCGTGTATTTTTAATACACGGGTACGTACGCACATTGACTTGAACAGTTATTTTAACTAATAAATAAAGTATTACAAATTACACTGAAAAATTTATTCTGTTATATTTATTCTTCTTATGTTTATATTTTTTATTTTATTTATTTGTTTTACTGCTTATCAATTTGTTCAAAATTAATAAGGATCATTATTTTAGAATAAAAGCTTTTGTTACATAAAAGTTTGTATATAAGAATAATTGGATACTGTACCCGAATAATTCGATGTATGCGTATCCGTATATTTCAATGCACGTGTACGTACCTGGATATCCGTGTATTTTGATACCCGGGTACCCGTGTGTTTACATAGATATCCGGGTGTCAACGTATTTCTATACCCTGGTACCTGTGTATAAAAAATATCCGTCTTCGTAATCCCTTAATACACGGTACACGTGTTCCGTGTACCCGTGTATTTTAATATTCGTTCAAAACCGTGATCTCTAATCTATACGTATAATTACAGATAAATAGATATTGTATACTGAAGAGAACCCCCAAAAAATGGATCTAAATGTTTAATAAATGATCTACTTACACCTATTTCGTATAAAAGTATGTATCATATATTGGATTTCGTCATTGTTAACAATAACAGTGTGTTAAAAGTGATGGATATACTATAAGTACAAAAATATGTTGACAAAACTATGTGAAACCTCGATGAACCTCGTTTGTAGCGTGTTGAATGATACAACGTTATTTTTGTCTTGCAATCGATAATAACAAATATTTCTCCAAGCATTTTTTTTTTTTTATAAAAATGACTTTGAGAAACATGATCCTATTTCCCTATCTATCCTTCCTCTGAGAATTCGCGATACAGCCCGTTAGTAGCGTATAATTTTCAAGTATAATTTAATTAACCGACTTCGAAAAGAAGGAAGTTACTCAATTCGACATGTATATATTTTTTTTTTTTAAATTTACTAGATTCCTTAGAATAATTTCAGAAAGTGCTCTCACTTTTATCCCAGCTGCTCTGTCTCTGAAAGACAGAGAGCGTGTGCCTGGATGTTTGCACGAAGAGACGAGAGATAGAGCACTGGGGTAGCCAACTGGTATGGGGGGGGGAATCAGTGACCTTGAACGACCAATTGATTTTGACCTCATAACCTTTTCACTCTGTTGTTCATACACGCTTTTACTCCTGCGCCAAATATGACGACAGCCACTGGCTAATGACGGGGATGTAAGCTATCGATCATAGTAACAGTGGGAATAATCCCTCCGCGACCTTGAGTAAAAAGTTTGATCCTCGTATCAATCATTCGAGGATACAGAATGTTAACCCTTTGGCCTACAATCACGAGTGCGACTCGTGGTAAGGAATTTGGTCCATAAACCATAAACACGAGTCTGACTCGTGGTGCTTCGTTCGGATTTCCTACCTTCCTGTTCACTATGGTCCGAGCAATCGGTGTAGGTCAAGGGATTAATACTATTCGTGTATATTTTCAAATTAGTCCATTCTCGGCCACATTCTCATCTGCAGTGAGAAATACAGTGGGTGTAGAAAGTATTCGTACACCGATCAATTTCCAAGAAAACTGTGTGAATTTGTTATTTATTAACTTATTTTTGATAAACAATGACATTCTACATATTCCCGGATATTTCTAGAATAGATAGATTACAAAAAAAAAAGGTATTTATGTAAGTTGCGAAATCAACAAGAAAAAAACAATTAATTGATAAAAATGTTGAAGCAATAAGTATACGCACAACTGCTTAAAAGTACTTTCCTCGAAATTTGATGTTTACTAATTCGCACGGAGCAATAAACTAATGTGTTCACGTTACAAACTGTACTATAAATGGTTCGTCATAAGAATCGTACAAATACTTATTGCTTCTATACTTTTACCCACTTTTCGCATTTTTTGTGTCAATTTCACAAATTATATTAACTAGTAAATGTTGTTTAGACCTATATCTATTTTAGAAACTTCCGAGAATATGTAAAATATCATTGATTATAATAGAAGAAGTTAATAAACTACAATTTCGCAGAAAAGTTTTTTGGGAAATTGATCGGTGTACGAATACATTCTACACCCACTGTATGTATAAGAATTCTGCTTTTATCAAGGTAAGTTTATTTAATTTCGACGGTAGCCTAGTCATGAGAGTTACACTTTGTTTCATGAATATGATTAGTAACAGTTCGATGAATTGCATTCTATTTTTTTAATTTCAGTCAACTGTACTCTGAATCTATTAGTATTAGAAGTAGTCTACTAATTATTTTAGGTATGTCAGTGTGATAAAACCACATAGCGACTCTACTGAGTTCTCGAAAAGCTATAAATGATTTTATTTAAATTTTATGAATGAATATTACGAAGCTGGGATCATGTTTTTCATTGCATTTATATGACAGCGACTGGGACACCAATAGTAATTGAATATTGGTAGCTTGTTCTTTATAAATTTAAATATAAAATATAAATTTAAATATAAAATGAACTATTATTCAACAGATACTACTCAGAATGTTCTATTACCATTGCGAGTCACAATCGACAAAAAAAATACTCGAATAATCAGAACGATTACCTTGTAATTAGACTGCAGACGTTTGTGCAAGTATAATTCATATTTTCACAGATACAGAAAATGAATTGAAACACACATTAAAGTATGTTTTTCGTTGGAAACGGTATACATTTATATCATTATTGATATTTTACATATTTTTGCATTTGTGCAGATTGTCATGGAATTCCCCATATATTCGTTTCCCATAAATACATAAACGTCCGCAATCTACTTGTAATTATTTAAAATTCGAATGAAGACCTCTACCAAGCTTTTTCCTCATATATTCTGCAGCAAGTCCGAAAACGCTAAAAATCTTTTTTTGAACTATGCCACGAATATAAGAAGGTTAACATTAGGTTTACGAAGCACAGTCATTTTGACCCATTCCTATTTTCACAAGGTTTTCCAGAACCAGTTTATATTTTTCGCCGACCACATATGCTGACATATCCACATATTTAGGTGTACCGAAAAGTAATGTCATTTCTTTTACATTAAATTCAGACAAATACATTCATAATACATTTCTATTTTTAATCGATTATGTAATTATCCTCGTTATCAACAACCTTTTGCCATTTAGTGTGCAAATATTCTAAACTAGTGTGCAAATATTCAATACTAAATGGTTAAAAATCAATGAGTCGATGAATGATAAAGAAGTATTGAGATTCACAGAAAGGACATTACTTTTCGGTTCACCTAATATAAAGACAAGCATATATCCAACTTCATTTTCATTTGAGCCTACTAATTAATTTTAGTAAATCAACTTCATTCATTGAAGCATTACTTCGCTAATAGAAATCTAATGAGAAATCTCCGTCGACATAGTATTAAAAACCACTGGCCCAATCTAAGATCCTGACCCACGAAGGCTTTAGGAATTCTGGTGCAATCTGATACCAGTGACGGCCAAAACCCTAGGCTTCGACTAAATCTAAAGTTTGCTGACATGTTTGTCTCGTTTCCTTCTTTGGAAAATGTTCAAAAGAGGAAATGAGACTTCAGATTTATTCGAAGTCTAGGGTTAACCCGTCACTGTCTGATACAAATGAACTTACCCGTGCGAGGGAAACCTGTGTTGAAGATGTTGTGGCTCGTAGTATTGTGTGGTAAGGGCTCGTTCGTCCAAGGTATGCTCAGTCGCGTGGGCCTTCGCTGCGGACTTGATATCCATGAACGCCACCGTCGCGGAGGCACCCCCGGTGCTGTTCGAGGAACTGCTACCCCCGCCACTGCTACCGTTCCCAGAACTGGAACCGGAACCACCCTCGTTGCCTTCTCCGAGGGAACCACCGGAACCTCCATCCACGGGGCACTCTTCGCCCCGCGGCAGCAGCTTGACGCTCTGCACGCGTCCATACCTAAAACATTCAAAATTTTCGGTTTATCGCAAGACTACTATAAATCGTTAAACAAACAAAAAAATCAATCCACGCGATTCTGGTAACGTTATTAAGCCTCTCCTATTCAAATTTTCTATTTTCGAAACATTCTCGTTGAGTCTCGCTCGACATAGAACCGCAGAGAGTTCAATTTAAAGGGCTGGGCGTTATATTGTAGGCACTGAACCTTGATTTACGAGTTATTAAGGAGGGTGTTAAGAACTGCTCATTTTTGGCATCGCTTGGAAATGAAAAAGTCATGCAGGATCTTTTAGAGTATCTCCCAAGGAACAAAAAATGTCCGAATCACTTTCCTAAAAAACGATGGAAAAGTTGTCAAAAATACGTTCAAAGTATGAATGCGATGATAACGGACCTTACGTATATTTTACATTTCGTCGTCTTCTTCTTCGGATATCGAACTGTCCTCGAAATATTTAACGACTTTTTATACGTCTTGCGATTACTTCGACAGATGCACCGCGGAAACCACTAACAGTTGAACAAGCGAATCAGTCACTCATTACGAAAAATCGTTCACCGTAGAAGTAATTAATGGATGCATGAAAAATCGTTTTAAGTATTTTTATGGAACCATCCAAAACACAACGTTACCTACTTTATTCCACGACTTCAAAATAGCTTGTGCCATTTTAAATGCAACATGTACATCACCATCTACATCTGCCCTTGATAATTTAATTACAAATACAATTTTCCAATATTCGAACAAAGTTAATCATTTATCACAAGTAATTCAAGCGGAAAATATGAATATAAAGCGAGCACAATTCCAACGTATGGAAGTTACAGAATTGGAGTTTTTCCCCAGATTAACTTACAGTGATCTATGCTCATACGCATGTGGAACATACCAAACGAAGCAAGCATCTGGTTATTACGCCGGCCATATAAATGACAGCGGAGATTTTGGATTTCAAGTCGCAGTACTATCGTACAATATTGATTTAAAAAAATAACAGATTGATGTGGAACCAATTAACGCCATTTTATTTCAAACGAAACTGCATTCACGACATTCAAATAGTTTAAAATACTTTGTATATGTACTAATTGATAAAAGTAAAACCGCACTGGAAGTCATACCTGCACACTCATGTGGGTGCAAAGTCGGAGTACGCGTTGTTGGTTGCTGTTCCCATGTAGCCATGATTATACTTGTACTTTGGATTTACTCGATTTCAAGCTTCAATTCATCTACCTGCTGAGTTCCTTATTACTTATTTCGAAGACGGTTCGATATCCGAAGAAGACGACGACGAAATGTAAAATATACGCAAGTTCCGTTATCATCACATTCATACTTTGAACGTATTTTTGACAACTTTCCCATCGTTTCTCGGGAAAGTGATACCGACATTTTTTGTTCCTTGGAAGACACTCTAAAAGATCCTCCGTGAATTTTTCATTTCCAGACCATTCCAAAAATGAGCATTTCTTAACACCCTCCTTTATATTCCAATAAATATATAATATATAAGATTCAATTTAAAAAAATTAATTTGTTTTTCAAATCTGCCCTGTTATTTTACTTACAACGAAGTTAGTTACCATTTGTTCATTCGAATCGAATAACTTTTGTAGAAACATTTTTTTGATAGCTTCATCTCATCATGAGATATTTAACCATTCCGATTTAAACGAAACTTCTTGTACATCATTTTTATACAATTTGCAATTCAAGTGTCATAAAAGAAAATTATTTGTTAACCTAATAATTTGCTTTGTATCATACAAACATCACGTTGAGTTCAATAACGAATGCTTTCCCGTACATAAGCAGTAATTTCTACAATACAACACTACACAGTAGTTGTGACAGCAGCGCAAAGCGGATTCCCGCTAGAGTCGTTTAAGATTTCTTAGAAGGAAAGATGCGAGCACAGAGACGTAATCCTCTGTCTCTAGAAAGCTCTCACGGTACCTGACACCGGCACAGGAAATTAAATCTCAAAGAAAGGCGATGAAAGATAGGAAGAGCGAACTGAAGAAATACTATATAAAGTACTAGCAATCATAAAAAAAAACTGCTTCAGAGATGGATCGAAATAAAAAAATGATCATTACTATCAAAATAACGTAAACATAAATAATAATGGAAACGTGGATAATACCTAATTATGAAAGATGTTATCTCAGTCCTAATTTGTCATACTTTATATTCGAACTCCGTTCGTGCTTAAACATTAGATAACAAGTACCTTAATTAGTATATTTATGAAAATATTCATTCGAAGAAAAGTATCAGGAACATATTCGTTTCTCATAAAATGGATATTACAGTTTCAATTACAGAATGAAACATGTTACAATGAACAAATAAAAATTGAATTCTTTAATCGAATAATCGACTACGAATGAATTGTTCGACGTAAGCTTCATTCGCAGTTGATTACTTAATGGGGGAGTTTGGTCCAGCTAATGTATTTTTTTAATGCATATAATTCCCAGATATAATTAATTTTTGTTATTGACACTTTTTTTACATATAAAGGGACGTTCGAAGAAGAAAACTTGACAGTGTAGATTTAATTTGAATGTGTACATACGATAGATATAGTAGTCGCAAGGAAAGGATTCGGTCAAAACAGTGGGATACGTGGAGCCCTGGTTCCACTGGTAAACATCTGATAGATAAAATCAGAAAATTGTTTTCTTTAGTACGTACGTACAATGCGTATGAACGTCAATTTGCAAAAAAAAATTGTTAATTGCAAAATTGACCGTTCTTTTGCAATAACTTTATGTTATAATAATAATTCATTAAGAGCCGAGGTTCGTTACCATATAAACTTAGGTACCTTCAATTTAAGCGTTGAATCAAGTGAATCGAATAAAAATTCGATGAGCTATGCGTCCCATCATTTTGACCGAATCCTTTCCTTGCGACTACTATATCTATATACAATGTATATATTCAAATTAAATCTACACTGTCAAATTTTCTTCTTTGAACGTTCTTTTATATGTAAAAAAAAAAGTTACAATAACAAAAATTAATTATAGCTGAAAATTATATGCATTAGAAAAATACATTAGCTGGACCAGACTCCCTCCTTAAATAAAATTTGCCTCATCCCTGGCACGCGGACAGGCTTATTTTAAAAAACGGAACTGTGTTACGTGTCGTGTTTTCCTCGGAGGCAACTTGGAATCGGTACGCTTAAAGAAAGTGCGCGTCTTGTTTTCACCCTATAGAAAACTGAGATATTGAATTTCGACGAAATTAAAGAAAACAAAGAGCCAGAGTTGTTTCTGGCACACCCTGTGTACAGAAAGCTCGCCAGTAGTAGAAACGGGGCTTACTAGGCGAGGGTAGGGTAAATCCTGAAGAGAGTGGGGATCCGAGCGTCGGGATAGGTCGACAGAGGAGAAGAATATTACGCGCAAGCGCAAAGACTCCAACGGTTTCGGAGTATCTCGGGGAGTTGTTCGTCTAATCTCGCGTGAGTCGCACGTATTTCCTTGTGCGTTCTTCCGAAGAAATCCTTTGTTTTTTTTCTCTCCCGGATCATCATATACACGCAGCTTTCAACACATCAACGAAAAATGCACTTAACAATTAATCCGTTGTTTGTTCTACACGCTCACAGGCGTCAGTATAACGCCAGCCAGAGAATGCGCGACAATATGGGCGGCACACCTTGGACTATAGTTCGCTTGGATTAACTGCGCAAAGTACTTAACTAGACCGTTAGAAAATCAAGGAACGGTGGATTTATAACGAAAAACACGAGAGGACGCTAACTTATCACGATTCTCTCTCGAGCATTTTTTTGCATCGTGAAACGTCGGATCGTTTCGAATGGGGCGTGGCCCTTCTTCCATATGCCGTGTGATTCGATGGCGAGAAAGGGGCGCGCGGAAAGCTTTGTATAACGGGTTTTCGTCTTTCTTGTTGCACTTCGTTTCGCTCGAACATTTCCAACATTTATTCGGCGTGTCGGAACAGGTTGGATCGTCTGTTAACGAGAGACGTTTACCCGTATCTCAAGAATTATTTTAGAATGATCGTCGACGAGAACCAATTTCCGGAGTTATCTCGGTTTCGCTACCGAATGGAGAGATGGAAGAGAATAAGTTTTAATATTGCAACATACACATCCTCTGGAAGATTGTTCCCACGAAATGGCTGCCGCAGCAGCGATGTGCCGTTTACCCGCGACTTCCGTAATCATTTCCATATTCCACATTTATTGTTCGTAAATACGATACCGACCAGATAGTAGATATTTTTTCACGGGTATTATATTACTATCTGTGATGTGTGGAGTGCTATTTCGAAATTTTGTTTTCTATATACCAGACGATGAAATCGTTGTTTACGCGTGACGATGATATTAAATAAAAGTGAAAAGAGAAACGCAGTGAATACGGAGAGGATTTGTATTAATTCCCGATGGTTAATCGGTATCGGACGTTCATTCTACGTGACATTTCGCGAAAGAGAATCACGCTCTGTGCGTTGTGGCCGCAAATGTTTCCATCCCAGCCCCGTTTGCTCGGCCTCCCTCTTGTTTTCTTCTCCTACGCACACATTCTCGTACGAAATGTGCGCGCGCACACACACCGAAGCCCTGAAAAGTCTCGCACACCACGGCGAACGTCCTTTTCTGTGGCATCAGGGCCGGAATTTCACGGGAGCAAACGACGTAAAATAGAAACATAATATAAACGAAATTCATAGTTATCTTGGTAGCGAAGACAATTCATATTTCTATTATTCAGCTATATTATGCCTAAAATATTAATTTTTCAAGCTCAAGAAGTACATTAAATAGAAAACGTCCTAGAACGATCATTATAAATCATACAGAAGATATATTAGGCGTAGAAATTAATTCTGTGCTTCTACATTTAATTATCTATAACTCTAGTTTAAACAAATATATTTACTCGTCATTTTGGTACATTAAAATACGAACCTTCTAAATCCTCAGTGTGATGGACATTACATG